AGCTTATGACCAAAGAATGATACTCCAGTCTGCTCTTGCTTCCAATCAAGGTTTCTTGGTTAGTTGTCCTTCCCTCTCAAAGATGACCAAAGCAACATCACTATGCTGGAGTCAAGTTACAGTGGCTGCTCAGACCAATACAAGATGGAATGCTCTACCACAGGTCAGGCACAAATAGTCCATGTGGACCTTTGGGGTGGATTCTCTGAATCTGCACATCTCAGGTTTTTTTTGAGCTACTTCAGTTCTGCTTTCCTCGTAGAGCCCAACACCTTCTCTGATGAGGGCACACCACACTGGGTGGTAGAAATGGTCTCCCACGTCACACAATCAACACCAAAGTTCTTAAGACACCTTAAGGATTTCTTACAGACTTCTACCCACTAGTCCTGTCCCTGGAACGAGCTGTAACTGCTGGTAATACGGAAATGACAATGGGTAAAAATAAGCAAATTGGCTTGTTTGCAACAAGTCACAGTTAGCAAGGAGTCTGGGCAGTTATTATAAAGTTAGGGGCTCAACCATTGACTAGCTAGTACTGATTCTAGCTTCAGAGACCACCACCTCTCTTTCTCCTCCCCAGTCCCTTAGCACCTTTTTTAATTTCTGCCCCTGGTTTGTCCCATTGTGAAAAGAACACTGGTTTGGGACTGGGGATATCCGGGTTTTGGTCCTGCAATGTGACTTTGAACAAATCACTTCTATTCCACTGTTCCGTATTTCAGTGTACCAGTATTCCAATGGATCCTATTTCATCCATGTAGAGAAGAATGCAGATGGAAGTCTGTCCACGCCTGTGCTTTTTCTCAACCTGACTTTCCCATTAGTTTAGTTCAGGAGTGAAGGGGGTGAGCATCAAATGCGCTTGAGAAGGTCTTGGCATCTCTTGATATCACTAGGATTCCAGCGTCTGTCCATCAGTTTTTCCTCACTCTCACCCATGATGGACCCATATTTTTCACTCATACATGGCTCTGATGGCATTCTTTCATGATTTTTCCTGCATAATTCTTTGTTTGCAATGTGTTACAGAGATAAGCCCTGCAAGAGTCCCTTTACAACCCTTTGGGTCATTCTCAACTCCAGATCTTTAGAGACTATGGTGATTCATGTCTCAAAATATCCCTGGAAGAATATTTGTGTTTCAAAGAGGGGTCTTAGTGTCAGGGAGAAGCTTGGGGTCATTAAAAGAACTTTACAGTTTCTCAAAGATAATACAGCCAGCTCTCTTCCTACTCTTCCTGCTCTTCAAAAACCAAGGATGAACAACAATTCCCACTCAGTTCTGGGCCTAATTCATTGCTTATTTGTTATGTATATTATAGATAGATGGGCAGCTAGGTGGTGCAGTGGATAGAGAGCCAGACCTGGAGTCAGGAAGACTCATTTTTCTGAGTTCAAATCTGGCCTCAGACACTTACTAGCTGTGTGACCCTAGGCAAGTCACTTCACCCTGTTTGCCTCAGTTTCCTCATGTGTAAAATGAGCTGGAGAAGGAAATGGCAAACCATTCTAGTATCTTTGCCAAGAAAACCCCAAATGCTATCATGAAGAGTTGGACATGACTAAAGAAAAGAGGGAGAAAGGGGAAAGAGAGAAAGAGAAAGATGCACCTGTGTGTGTGTGTGTGAAAGATGGGTGTGTGTGTGAAAGAGAGGCAGAGACAGAGACAGAGAGAGATCTTGGAAATGCCTTAGAGATTATCTAGTCCAAATCTCTCATTTTATAAATGGGGAAAATAAGGATGAGCTCTACATATATGAAGGAGTTTTGGTTCATCCTTATTTTGCCCATTTATAAAATGAGCGATTTGAACCAGATAATCTCTAAGGCATTTTCAAGCTCTGACATATTATGATTTAACAGAAGTATAAGTCCCCATTCCCTTCAATAAGTAACTCTGCACTCTAGGCTGCGTACCCCACCCCCAACTACTCTTGCACTAATCCAAAAAATTAGATAAAGGTACAAATGCTGGGTCTTCGGGTTCTCAAGAGACTGGAATGAAATTTATTTACTTCATAGGAGAAACTCCTGGTGGTCTCTATCTTCCTGTTTCAGATAGCTAGGCCATCCTCTATCCTTCCTGGACAAAGGGTCCTTAAATCCAAAGAAATCCAGAAACCAAGCTTGTGAATTTTTATACAAACTCAAGTCACTGAGAGTGGAAAAGGCAGAGAGAAGGCCAAGGCTGTTTCTTTAATTAAGGTAGGTAGGAACAAAGCAAAGGCAGTTTATGGCTAGAAGGAAAGAGAATCAAGGAAGGAAGAAAACAAGCATGTAAGTGCTTACTATGTGCCAAATAAATAATTGACAAAATTGAAAAGAGAGCCCCCACCCTCAGAGAGCTTCCATTCTAATGGGGAAAGGCAACACATAAAACAGAGCTAAAAAGGTGGAGTGGGGTAGAGGGCAGGGGTTGGGGGGCGGGTAGGGAATAAAGGTTCTGGGCATAGTTTTGAGGTCTGGACCAAGGAACACACGCATATATGTATCAATATATGTATGTCTGTATTTATTTCTCTATGTCTATAATTTGTTTTCAGTTGTTTCTGATTCTTGATGACCCCATTTGGGGTTTTCTTGGCAAAGATATTAGAGTGCTTTGCCATTTCCTCTTCCAGCTTATTTTACAGATGAGGAAACTGAGGCAAACAGGGTTAAGTGACTTGCCCACACTCACACAGCTAGTAAGTGTCTGAGGCCAGATTTGAACTCAGGAACAGGACCCAGAAGGAATGAAGCCCTCTCCAAAAAATGGAGGCCTCCCAGGAGTTCACCAATGGGAGAAAGGAGCAGGTTTTTACAGAAGTATATTTCAGATTAAGAAGACTATAGGGTAATGGGATATTGCAAGGCACTTGGGCCCCAGGCTCTGAGGGCAAACAGCGGGCTTTTGAAGTCCAGAAGCCAGGAACAGGAACTAAGAGGGAAGCAAAAACCAAGGCACCTAAGGAAAGTGCCACAGAGGCTTCCTAAAAGTAAATTTTAAAAAAATATGTCTTTCGTTTTTGCATCACTGTATCCTTCCCCTTTCCTCTGAACTAGAGGCTTTGAATACCAACCTGACTAGAATCTCAAAGATATCCTGAAAGGCGCCTAACTGCCCCCAAAAATTAACATTATAAATTTGGAGACAGAGCCAGGGTTAGATTGAGCAATGGTTCATGAAAGTTAAGGATTGATGACAAAGGTATCTAATCTATACCTAATTGCATTTCCTTCAATCTTTCTCAAATTCTATATTAAAAAGATAACGGATTTTTTTTAAGGCCAAGAGAGAATCTGGTAGGGTGGGGATCAGCAGCTATCTGTCTCTGTGCTTCCCCCCACACTAGAACACCTCAGCCTTATATGAGAAATTCCCCAAATGTTTTAGTCAAATGGTCTTAAGGAGACTAAGAAGACCGCTTGTTCAATTGGTACTTCAAGGACCGACCTGACTCCGAAATCTCTCCCTGCCAGCCCCCCCCCAACATCCTTCTCTGAAGCTGCCCCTTTATTCCTTCCTGGTCTGATATTCCTACTATTAAAGTCTCTAATAAAGTTGATAACAAAATCTGGGGAAACTGGCTTCAGAAGGCCACTGTGGGGAGAGAAAAAAAGACATGTTATTTAAAAGGAGAGAGAAGAAAAGATAAAACCAGGGTCTCAGAGAGATGAGACATGGAAAAGTTGAATTCTGATTAGGAGAGATAGAGGACAGGAGGTCTAAACGCTGAGATACCTCCTTGATATGGGATAGAGATAGTATGAAGGCACTGGGTATCTCTAGGGCCAGCCATAAGCCTCACAATTTTGCCTCAGGTCAATTTCCCTTCTCCCATCAACCTTCCCCCAGAGGGAAAAAAAAAGTACCTATCTCACCTCGCCAGAATTTTCCCACCAGCCTCCGCACTCCCTGGATACTCTGGGAAGCAAGGTAGGAGGAAACTGTAGACTAGCCCATGAATTAACGAGGGAAGGACAATGGGGGAAGGGAAGACCGGGAGAGAAGAGGGAAAGCAAAATACCCCAGCAGCCCCTGCTATTTACTCCTCTTGGGCTGACATTAAAGGCTAGCCTGAAGGGTGAGCGGGCGCTTGACTTCCTGTCGGCGGCCCATGATGTGCCGGGGACACTCTGTCACGGCAATGCATCGGTGCCTGAAACATTAATTGGGAAGGGAGATGAGTGAAGCGCCTTTAATGAGAAACCTTGTTGTAACTTGTAACCAGTACACGTTATTTACAGAGATTCCTCTAATGATGCCGTCCATCAGAGGGGAGGAGCGGGCGCGACAAGAGAGCCGGAGCCGTCAGGAAGGGAAAGAAGGCTGGGGGAGGGAGGGAAAGGGATGTCAGGGAAAGGAAGGAGAAATGGAGGCCTCGAGGGAGGGACGAGAAGGAAGCAGGGAGAGGGAAGCCAGCAGTACTACTGTGTCTGCCCCCGGATTCTGTCTCAGGGCTTGGCAAATAGGAAGGGCTTAGTAAATGCACTTTCTGTTCTGCTCTTTTCTTTTTCTTTCTTTTCCTTCCTTCCCTTTCCTCCTTCCTTCGTTTTCTTTCTTTCCTTCTTCCTTCCTTTCTCTCTTCCTTTCCTTCTTTCCTTTTCCTTCCCTTTCCTCCCTCTCTCCTTCCCTCCTTCTTTCCCTCTCTTCTTCCTTCCTTCCTTTCTTTTTCCTTTCCTTCCTCCCTTCCTTTCTTCCATTCCTTTCTTCTTTCTCTTTCTTCTTCCCTCCCACCTTCCTTCCTTCCTCCCTTTCTTCCTCCCTTCTTCCTCTCCTTCCTTTTTACTTCCTTCCTTCCTCCTTCCTTCCCTTCCTCCCTCCCTTCCTTCCTTCCTTCCTTCCTTCCTTCCTTCCTTCCTTCCTCCCTTCCTTCCTTCCTCCCTTCCTTCCTCCCTTCCTTCTTTCTAATTTCCCAATTGGAACCTTTCTATTATATCGAAGTAGAAAGAACACTGGCCTGAGAGCTAGTAAAGTGACCTAGGTTTGAGTACTAACTCTACAACCAACTTACTATATGATCTTCAGCAGTCCGCTTCACATCGCCCAGCCTCAGTTTCCTCATCTATAAAATAAGTTTGGACTACAGAGCACTGGAGGTCCTTCTGATGATAACATTCCATGGGTAGTCCCTTGTTTTATGACAGGAATGGAATGGCCCATTATAAGCAAAATCCAGGGGTATGGGAGTTCAGTCTACAACTGAGAGCACAGAATCAGACAATCTCAGAGATGTAAGACTCATATCAAGTGCCACCTTGTACATGAAGCCTTTTCTGATCCCCGCAGTTGCCAGGGCCTTCTCTCCTAAAACCATTTTGTGTTAATTTTGTATATTTTCAGAATATACTTATATGTGTACATGTTATCTCTGCTATTAGAGCGCGAGCTCCTTGAGGGCAAGTACTCTTTCACTTCTGTCTTTATATCCTCAGCATTTAGCATTGTGTTTGGCACATAGCAAGCTCTTAATAAATTCTCTTTGATTGAGTGGTTGATGGGTAAAAGATGCCTCAGAGGTCTTCTGATCTTAATCAATACCTGACCAAGAGTTTGTTCATAAAATACCACTTGTTTGAGGTACCCCTTTGCTCTAGGCCTATAAAAAACACTCATCCTGGTAGAATTTGTTCCCCCCCCTTTTTTTTTAACTAAGAGTTAATGATATTAAGCCCTAGAATATTGCAGAGACTCCTAAATGATACCCATGATTACTCAAAAGAATCCAGTCTAATTATCCACAGGGGAGAAATCAAGTGGATCCAAAAATGCCTATTGTCCAGTTTATGATATTGCTTGTTATTCAGTTAGATGGACAACCCATGAATCTGGCCCTTTAAGGATTAGATCCTTAAAAGACAATGAAAATAGGCAATAAGCTGGGTCTAGAGTGGGCTGGGATGCCTTTGCAATGTTTTTTTTAATAATCTCAAGCTTCTCTGTGAAACAAAGGGTCCACCTTTTTAAAAGTTACTGGCTTTTTTTTTGTTTTAATATCACCTACATTTCCCTATGTATGTTTCCCTTTGAGCCTTGTTTGAGTCATAGATTTCTTTGGACACCTTCTTGGAATAATATTTTTAAATTCATGAAATAAAATACGTAGGATTACCAAGGAAACCAAAGGTTAGTGAAAATAAAAGTGGCATTTTATTTCGATCTAAATTCATGCCCCACCCTGAAATATATCCATGGACCCCAGGTTAAGATTCATTGCACTAGCTGGTCTCTGGGGTCCCTTCTAACTCTGAGATTCTGTGAAGGCATAAAACACAGTATGATGTGAAAACAACATGGGGAGAAATCATTAACAGGGAGACTGGGGAAGTTTCGGGGGGGGCAGGTAGCAGGGAGCTTTTGAATTGGGTTTTAAAGGACTGAAGTTCAACATAGGCTAGATGGATGTTTGACCAGGCGTGGGGAACCTTTGGCCTCGAGGCCACATGTGGCCTTCTAGGTCCTTGGGTGTGGCCTTTTGACTGAGTCCAAGTTCTACAGAACAAATCCTTTTATTAAGAGGATTTGTTCTGTGAAGTTTGGAGCCAGTCAAAAGGCCATACTTGAGGACCTAGAGGGCCACATGTGGCCTCGAGGCTGCAGGTTCCCCACTGTTGCCCACAACCAGATTGTACACCGAATGGAGAGGCGTGAAATAACTTATGACGTGGGCCAGGCGGAGTAGAGTTACTGACTCAGTTTGTTCATCTGAGGGCACAGAATATATAGGGAAGATCTAGCCTAACTTCAAAGAGTCCTCCCCATGAGATACTCCCCAGAACATCTGCTGAGGATGTAACAATCATGAATTTCCTCCTTATCAGGGTTCCTAGATTGGGCTGTAGATTCCAAGGTTTTCCCAGGCACCTTGGCGCCACCTGCATAGAAGAGTAAATATGTAAATCTAAGGTTCAAAGAGAGAGAAGGGATGTCTCAGAGACCTCTTTATCAGGAAGGAATTGGGGAGCCGTACCACTTAATCCATGAGCTCTTTGGGGTGAAAGCCTGAGCAGAGGTCAAACTCTGCCTTGGATCTTAAACCCTTATCAGACTCTTAAGATTGGCCCTCAACACCCCACCCCAGTTAGACATTAAGAAAGACAGCAAAGTCAAGTCTGCTTTTGGGGGACAGAAGAATTTAGTTTGGCTTCAACAGAACGCTGGGAAGAGAGAGATCTTGAATACCAAATTTAAAAAAAGAAGCTGGGTTTTTTTTGTTTTTTTTTTTTTTGGCGGGGGGGTTTGGTGTGTGGTTGGAGGGTGGAAATAAAAATCCTGTAACATCATATCATTGTGTTGAGTTCAGGTTCAGCCTCTGACACATATCAGCCGTTTGACTATGAGTAAATCACTTAGCTGTTAGGTGCCTCCAAACAATTCTCTATAACTCTAAGTTACAGAGGGTAGATGGTCTGTATAAGTGTAAGTGAAGAGAGATTTCATACTGGGAGTTCTCCACACTGCAATAGAGGCACAGTTTTTAACTTTCTGTGGGAGGTCAATGGATTTCACATGAGTCCTTACCGTTTATAGCTATGTGCATCTTTTTCTTACCCAATGGGATCTAACATTAGAAGGAAAGGGGAACTTACAAGAAGGGCTAAGGGCCTCCAAGCCCTGTGATGAGAGCTGGAGCAGCTGAGTGGAGTTGGCTTCAAAAATAATACAGCAGATGAGTTAATGAAGGCAGAATTTGAAAGACATTGGACTTCGCTCCATTGACATTTCAATGAAAGAGCACAAAACTTGGAGTTTGGGCCCCTCTTTTGAGTTTGAACCCCTCTTTCTCTACTTGCTACTGGTGTGACCTTTGGCAATTGCTTGATCTCTCTATACATTAGCTGGTAAAGCAGTGATAATAATTCCTGCCTGCATATTTCACAGAGAAATTATGAGTGTCCAATCAGGTGCCAAATCTTGTCAATTCTAGCTCTATAACACCCGTTACATGAAGTCCTCTTCTTCCCTTTTCCATGGCTGCCATCAAAGTTCAAACCCTCACAACCTCTCACCTAGCCTATTTCAATAGCCTTCTAATTGGTCTGCTTGCCTCGGATTTCTTTCCTTTTCAATCTGTTCTCCACACAACTGCCAAAATGATATTTGAAAATATAGGTCTGACTTGTGTAAGATCCTAGGACACAGCAATGGCTCCCCAGTGCCTTGAAGATAGGATATAATCTATGTTTTATTATTTTTTTCAGACTGATTTCACATTACTTCCCTTCATATGTGCTACATTCTCCTCAGACTAATCCACTTGCTGGTTTCTCGTATGACTTTCTAATTGCCATCTCCACTGTGCACTGTGCCCCTTGTCTGGAATGATCTCTCTTCTCCCCTCCACCTTGGAATCCCTAAACCCTTTCAAGGCCCACTGCAGAAGCTACTTCCTACATGAGACCTTTCTTGACTTCCCCTCCAGGCTGTTAGTGCTCCTCAAGCACTACTGTTAGTCATTAATTTGCATTTTCTATATTTTGTATATGCTTCTATTTACTTATCCTTGTAATATTTTATCACACATACACTGATAGAATGTTTGTCTTTGTAACTATAGCACCTAGGACAGTACCTTGCTCATAGTAAACAATAAATGCTTGCTGAATTTAATTGAATTGAAACTAAATTAAATGAGGTCATGGGTATGAATGTGTGAGTTATTTTTTCCAGTGAAATCATGAATAACTTTCAAGTGTGAGACTTTTAAGACATTTTTTGCAACTTTAACACTCTGCTATGGTATGTCCGCTGTCTGAGAACCAGCCTAGCTAATTATGGAGAGGTTTATCACCAGTGATTAGCCACCAGGTGAGAAATTATTTGACCATGGAACTAAACCCGATGAAACAATTTCTATTATTTTTCCCTGTCTGCTTCCCTACAGCAGTTTTCTTTTTCAAACCCTTAGAAAGATGCAAAGAAATTATTCAAAAATTATTTCAGCAGGAGAAGGAAGATATTTTGAAACCCTGTCCTATTCCACAGGGAATCTGGGGGTGGATTTAGTGGAAGAAGAATAGACATTGATGATAGCCAGAAAGGAAGAGAAAGTACAATTCCAGAGACTTGTGGGAGAAAAAAAAATGGGGGGAGGAAGGAGGGAGCAAGGGAACTGGCTTGGTAGGTCACACCAGCAGGAGTCCCTAGACACAACAACCCCTGAACACAAGCTTGATGTAGTTAATTCCCATCTCTTTGCCTCATTAGCTTCTATTTCCATAATATTTGACAAAACATTGTATGTACATTATCTCATTTCAGCTTCCTAACACTCCTGAGGGGTAGGCACTATAGGTATTATTATCTCCATTTTGCAGATGAGGAGGCTGAGGTTCAGCAAGGTAAAGTGATTTTCCCATAGTCACACAACTAACAAGTGTTGGAGGCAGATTTGAACCCTGTGCTTCCTGACTCCTAGGAAGATCTCCAAGTCCTTTTAGATTCAAACATTTGACATCCTATTTCCTAATATTCAATCTTATAAGGTCCCTTCTAAGCCTAACATTCCATATTCTAACATTCTATGGTCTAAGCACCATCTTCAGGACTAACCATCTGCTTTCAGACACGTACAATCCAACCTAAACATGAAAAATGTCCCATTATAACATACCTCACAAGTGGCCTCTAGCCTCTGATAGAAGACCTCAGATCAAATAGAAACTCCTTTGTTTTCATTTAAAAGTCTTCATGACCTAGCCCCTTTGTGCCCTTCCAGTGTTGATATTTTATTTTGCATACATTTTACTTTCCAGTACCATTGGCTTACTTACATTTTCTTGAATCCTACACTCCATCTCTGATTTCCATGCCTTTGCCCTGGCTGTACCCCAGTTCAGCCCCCTGACCTTCACTTCTTACCTTCTCTGACTCAGCTCAGATCCAGCTGCTCCAGGAGACCTTCCCCAGTACTCCCAGCTTCCAGTAACTTCTCTCAGATTGCCTTCCATCTACTCTGCATGTATCTACATGGTTGTTTGCATATTGTCTTCCCCCATTCAATTGTGAGCTCCTTGAAGGCAGGGACTATGTTTTTGTCTTTCTTTGTAACCCCAGCTTTAGCACAGTGCCTGACATATACTAAGTATTCA